GTTATGCTTGGGAATTGGTTCGTTATTAATAATAACTGGGGGGGGCAGTCTCCTCTTCGTAGTGAAAAAGTAATATGACTTGATTTTTCAGAATTGACCTTGATATTCCATCTTTTATACCAATTTTCAAGATCATTCAGTTCGCTTTGTATATCGAAAGAGGCATTTTGGGGGCATTCATCTACTGCAGCAATGGCAGTATCATCGGCGTAGGTCGCAATAGTAACCCTTGGAGATATCGGCATATCTGCAGTGTACAGGGTGTATAAGATAGGGCCTAATACACTGCCTTGGGGAATTCCTGATCGAATTTCAATTTTGGGCGATTTTTCATCTTTAACTTTTACGTAAGCATTTCTATGACCAAGATAGCTTTTGAAAAAGAGAAAGTAGGGAGCTGGTAGTAGCTTTTTTATTTTGTACAATAATCCGTCATGCCACACACGATCGAAGGCTTGCTGGACATCTAGAAAAACAGCCGAACAATATTTTTTAGTTTCTAAAGTGTCTATTATGGTGTTGATGATCATGTGGCATTGTTCAGGAGTGCCGTGTTTTTGTCTAAAACCGAATTGGTGATCGGGAATAATATTTTCATTTTTTAACAGCGGTAGCAATCTTTTTTTAAAAATTCGCTCAAATATTTTCGAGAATATTGGTAAAAGTGAAATCGACCGGAATGAGGACAGGATGTGTTCAGGTTTACCTGGTTTCGGAATCATAATTACCTCGGCGGTTTTCCAATTTGTTGGAAAGTGGTCCAATCGCAAGATCGCGTTAAATATATTGGTTAGAAAAATTAAGCATTTGCGGGAAAGATTTTTAATGGCATTAGCATCTATCAAATCATGCCCTGGTGATTTTCCTGTTTTTAAGCTTTTAATTTCATCTGCTACTTCATTCAATGATATGTGCTTAATTGGCCGATCCATTTGACAAGCTGAATCCAAATATTGGCAAGTTTCATTGTAATCTTCTCTATTAACGAAATCGAAGGGTTGAAGGGTTGAATATTGGTAAAAGTGAAATCGACCGGAATGAGGACAGGATGTGTTCAGGTTTACCTGGTTTCGGAATCATAATTACCTCGGCGGTTTTCCAATTTGTTGGAAAGTGGTCCAATCGCAAGATCGCGTTAAATATATTGGTTAGAAAAATTAAGCATTTGCGGGAAAGATTTTTAATGGCATTAGCATCTATCAAATCATGCCCTGGTGATTTTCCTGTTTTTAAGCTTTTAATTTCATCTGCTACTTCATTCAATGATATGTGCTTAATTGGCCGATCCATTTGACAAGCTGAATCCAAATATTGGCAAGTTTCATTGTAATCTTCTCTATTAACGAAATCGAAGGGTTGAAAAATTTCTGTAAGATGAGTTGCAAAAGCATCTGCTATGCTTTTAGATGATTTACACCATGTTCCGTCAGCGTTCTTGATTACGAAATTTTTCTTGACAGGTCTTTTCAAATATTTAGTAGATTTCCACAATAAGTGTTCATCATACTTTGAATTATTTATCGCTTCTAGAAAGGTAGCTGTGGCGTCATTCTTATAATCAGAAAGAACTTTTTTCAACAGTCTGCATGCTCTATTGAACCGTATACTATCGGTGGGTTGTCTACTTGCTTGCCAGATTTTTCGAAGCCTTCTTTTATCACTTATTAGTTGCCTTATTTCGAATGATAATTTCAAATTGTCTCTCGGAATGTTCGAAATTGTGGGTGTTGCCAGAGAAGCAGATTCATGAATTGTTTTCGTGAGATGATCTATAGCATTATCTATTTCACATTTAGTTTTTAAACTTGTATTTAGACTTATTTTGCGATCAATACTCGTTCTAAAAGTCCGGAGGTCAGTTTCGGGGGTTATCAGTTTATTTTTTAAGTGTGTATATCGAATAGACAAAGTAATGTTTATCAATATTGGTATGTGATCCGAGCTCAGGTCGTCTACGTTTGATATGTCTAAACTGGTACATGGAATACCACGATAAACAGCAAAATCTAGAAGATCAGGAATTTTACCTGGATCGGATGGCCAATACGTTGGTGAACCAGATGAAAGTACTGATAAATTTGTGTCTTGAATACATTTGTACAATTCCCTTCCCTTGGGATTAACTAAACGCGAGCCCCACCAAGGATGTTTAGTGTTGTAATCACCTCCAACAATGAATTTGTGTCCCATCTTATTGAAAAAATCGACATATTGCCGGTATAAAACTTGATGTCGTGGTGGAAAATAGATTGATGAGATTACCATGTCTCCATCATTACTTTTAACTTTTATGCATGTAGCTTGAACAAAATTTTCCTTTACTTCATCTAGTGTTTCATATTTAATTGTATTTTTCACCAATATGCAAGATTCACCATGAGCGCTGTTGTCAGGATGATTAGTTTTTATAAGGTCATAACCACTTATATTAAAATATGAACGACTTGTAAAGTGTGTTTCGGAAATGAGAAACACATCAATATAGTTAATTTTAAGGAAGATTTCAACTTCTCTTGTATGATTTAGAAGCCTATTGGCATTCCAAAACGCTATTCGCAGGTTTAATTGCATAATTTTGAGATTAGTAACGACATCATATTAAGGAGGGTATTTGTTAACTCTATTTGTTTGTTTAACAGCTCTTCTATTTTGCCGAAAGTCGTTTGCTCGTTATTTTTCAGAATGCCTGCATATGAGTTTGGGGAAGATTCGTTGCAGTCTTCGTTGGGATTTCTTAATATTTCCCGGTCGATAGCAGGGCGAATATTTTGACGTTTCTGTTGAGATCTCAATTGCAGAAGTGATTTGTAAGCAGTACAACCTCGGTAGTTTGCTGGATGTTCACCTTGGCAATTTACGCATTTAGGTGGATCTTTCTTATCTTTTTTACATTCGCTACTTAGGTGATTAAACCACATTTAACGCAAAAAGGAGTGTATCTGCAGTATTTTCTTGTGTGGCCATGTCCTTGGCATCTCTGACATTGTACAATATCATTCGATTTCAAAGGGGCTTCGATTTTTATTACTGCATTGCCTATGTATTTCATTTTATAAACGTCAGAATTGTTAGCTTTTGGTTCCAAATCCACAAAGAAAATTTACATTGGCTGTTTGCTAATTATGCTTCTTACATTCATGACATTCCTCACGTTATGACCTTCCTTCTCAATAGCAGTCTTAATTTCATGTGGGGGTGTTGTATGATGCAAGTTCTTAACAACGACTCTATATGCTCTTTCTTGTTTCAACTGATAAGTATGAAACATTTTCTTTTTTATGTCTAAATATTTGACAACAGTTCGATAGGCGCTTGTGGATTTTGTCATTAGTCTTACTTGACCATTCTTCACTGATTTGTATGTAAATTCTTGAGGCATAATAATCGTTGAAATATCCTCTAACATTTTTTTGATATCAGCAACATCAGGTATGATTATAGGTGGTGGTTTGGGTTCAGCGACTTCTTCTATCTCTTGTGTTTCTTCAACATCATTGTTCAAAAGTAGATGATACTTATTTGCACTTGTTGATGGACTGTCATTTAATGCAAGACGTTTTGTGTTGTTGCGAATTGGGGAATCTTCGCTTCGACGTTTATTGGATTTTACTACCTGCCAATCGAGGTCTCTGACATGGTTAGTGCTGGAGGTACTAGCACTTGTGGTTTTGTTGTTGCCAACACTCATGCTGCTGGTTCAGCAGTTGAGTGTGGGTACGTGGAGTTGTTGTAGAATGTGTCCGTTTGTTCGGGTTTCGAAAAAAAAGGTTTGAATTTGTTGGTAATATTTACCATTCACCGTTTCAATAAACAGTCTGGTGACAAAGTGCAATGTTTAAACTTTGAGGAAAAAATATACAAAGGTCTTGCTAGCACAAAAAGTACGTCTGCACAGAATGACTGCACAGAGAGACTGAAACATGAAATTTGAGCCGTATCTTTTATCTGGTACCAAATATTATTGTTGTGGAGTGCATATTATGCATATGAGGGATCTTAACACCAAATCGGATAAAACAACAGCTATATCTGAACCGATTTAAACCAAATTTGAAGTACTTGTTTCTAGGATAAATTTAGGCTAAATTGCCAAAATTCAGTCCATTTTGCCTGATATTAGCACTATATCAAGCACCTGATATCGGAAAAAGATATCCTAATACGATCCTATCTCGATAAAATTTGGCAGAGGTAATTTCGAGCTCCATAAGTTATCCGGTACCAAAAATCTTTCTTCTGGAGTGCATATTACATATGTGAGGGGCTTAAAACCACAAATCGGATGAAATATATAGCATATAGCTATACCTAAACCGATTTTAATGCTTCTGGACTGAATTTGGTCGGTGTGCCAAAATGCAGGTCGGTTTGGACTGACATTGGCCATTTGGTGCACACTTTTCCCGAAATCTGGACTGACTTTGGTCTGTGTGCCAAAATACAGATCGTTTTGGACTGACATTGGCTATTTGGTGCACATTTAACCCGAAATCGGTTAAAAATATATATGTGGGTTTTATTTAAATATGAACCGATTCTCACAAATGCGACCTGCATTTTGTTCACAAAAATACATGGAATGACGGAATGATGGACTGACATTCATAAATCGTCTTTGAAAGTTATTCTATGAAGAACCTCAAAAGTAACTATATAATAAATAACTTAATAATAACTATATAATAAATAACTATATAATAACTATATAATAAATAATATATAATAAATAATAATACCCTGACCACCTAGTGGTGTAGGGTATGAAAAGGTATATAAAAATACGATACTTTCAAGGTATTACTAAATATTTTTAATGTAATTGCTGATATAGAAGTTTTTTTCCTCATCTCTATTGTATTTAGATCTGAAATATTTGGATTTTCAAAAATCTCAACGTAATCGACATCCCTAATTTTAAATTCACAACATTATAAAATTTCTAAAATATTTTAAATTCTTTCTCTAAATATATTATGTTTTGGTCGCCCCGAGCTACTTACCTGTATTTTGCGTATAATAGGCATCCAGCTGCGATGGTAAGATGACCACTACCGCCGCTATGGCCATGGTTAGAACATTCATCAAACTTAACGATGCCATGCTGAGTTTTGTCGTCTTGTTGTGCAAAAAGTTTACAGTGTTCTTAACACGTTTATGATTAATGAGACCAAATCAAATGAATCGCTGCCACACGCGCTCTGAGGTGCATGCCAACCAAGTTGTCTCCCTCTCTCTCTCTCGCTTTGTATGGATGTTTGTTGCTGCTGGGCTTGGTTAATTGCTGAATGATATATAAGTGTGTGATCTGAACTTGTATTTGGCTGCTAATCTTTGGAATTAAATGTGTCAGAAACATAAGACATTATTGCCAAAATAGAACTGACAATTTTTGTTGCAGCTATGCTGCCAAATATTTTTTTTCGTAAACTTTTTATTGTCACTATCTTGTGGTATTTCAAAGTCAATTAAATCACATATAAATATTGATTTCATGAGATATTGCGGGTGTATTTTAATTTAGGCTATAATTAAAGAAGAATTTATAATTTGTATATTTTTTAGAGAATATTCCGCAGTGTCATTGCATCTGAAATGAAAAAAAGAAAACACAAGTTAGGAAAAGTTCTACAATACACTCAAAATCAAAAAAAAAAAAAAAAAAAAAAAAAAATAGCACATCCTTTATAGAAAAATAAATAAAAATAAAATAGAAAATAAAATAAGACGATCCAAAAACTTCTTAGTTTTTGAAAGGAATATATGAACTTTTTTTCCAATATGATGGGATTAAGCCTGACCATTTTGCAACAACAAAATACTATAGTATCCCGAACAAACAAGCCAACACTGTTCTAGGAATACAGGAACTATATCGAGGATTGCTATCTAGATTTTTAAACCCAAACACCGAAATAGTGTTTGTAACATGGAGAAGGAATCGAGATATACCCATAGTTACTTTTGAACATCCTCATAGAATCACTTTCTGAGCCAATTTTTGCACGTCAGTTCGTCTGTCCGTTCGCCCGCCCATGTATTTTTGTGAACAAAATGCATGTCGCATTTATTATCCGATTGAGATGAAATTTTTCAAACAATATTTGTTTAGCCCAAGGAAGAAACTATTGAAATTGGTGAGAATCGGATTAAATTTAGATGTAGCTCCCATATATATCTTCATCGATTTCGGCTTAATTGTGCACCAAATGGCCAATAACAGTCCAAATGACCTGAATTTTGGTACATCCGGCCGAATTCAGTCTAGAAGCAAGTACATCAAATTTGAAATTTGAAAATCGGTTCCGATATACCAATAGCTCTCAAATGTATGTTTTATCCGATTAGGTGTTTAAGTCCCTCACATTCAACAATGATATTTGGTACCAGATATCTTTTAGAGCTCGGTAATATCTTTGCCAAATGTTACCGAGATCGACTCAGATTTGGATATAGCTCCCATATATATCCTGAATCCGATTTAGGAAAATAATGGCTAAGATCAGCCCAAATGGAATGAATTTACGAACATACGTTTCCATTTGGTGGAACTCGGCTCCGCTATATATTTTTATACCTCCTGCCATAGTATGGAGGGTATATTAGGTTTGTCATTTCGTTTGTTACACCTCGAAATATACATTTTAGACCCCACAAAGTGTATATATTCTTGATCAGCAGAATCAGATTTAGCGATGCCCGTCGGTCTGTGGAATTCACTTTAGCTTCCGAAGGAAACGAAGTAGGTTGATAAAATTTTACTCAAATGTCTATGTCTGCAGGACTTTTGGTATTGAAAATGGGTCATATAGGTCCACGTTTTGGTATAGCCCCCATATAACGATATCTCCCGATATTCTGTATTTGGATGATTTTAGCAAGATTATTCACCGGAATTATTTAAAACTTGGTATTTAAAGTTCGAAAAGGATGCTACAGCCTAAGACAGAAAATTGTTCGTACAGTTCCACGTCTTCGCATAGCCCCTATATAATGGTACCTCCCTATTTTCGGTATTTTGGTGATTTAAGCTACATTATTCATCGGAAATGTTTAAAATTTGGTATTTGAAGTTCGTAATAGATACTACAGCCTAAGACAGAAAATTGTCTGTACAGATGCACATTTTGGTATAGCCCCTATATAACGGTACCTCCTTATATTCGGTATTTTGATGATTTTAGCGACATTACTCACAGGAATTGATATTTAAGGTTCGAAATGGATGCTACAGCCTAAGACAGAAAATTGTCCGTGCAGTTCCACGTCCTCGTATAGCCCCCATATAACGGTACCTCCCGATATTCGGTATTTTGATGATTTTTGCGACATTACTCTCCGGAATTGTTTCAAATCTGTTATTTAAAGTACGCAATAGATGCTTCAGCTTAAGACAGAAAATTGTCTGTGCAGTTCCACGTCTTCGTATACCTCCCGATATTCCAAATGGTGGAGGTTATTCCAGGTTCGGCCCGGCCGAACTTATAGTTTTTTTACTTGTTGTGATATATGTCACCATTTTCACAGGAATTGGTTCAAAATTGAAATTTTAATTTTCTTAAGGGTTCTACATTCTATGACAGAAAATTGCTCACACAGGTCCAAGTCTTCATACAACCTCGAATAACGGTATCTTCCTATTTTATTTTATGACAGAAAATTGCTCACACAGGTCCATGTCTTCGTACAACCCCCATATAACGGTATCTTCCTATATTCGTTATTTTTATGATTTTAGCAGTATTTCCAATGTGTTTTTTTTTTGTATTTGCAAATTTCTTCCAAATGGTGGAGGGTATTCGAAGTTCGGCCCGGCCGAATCTACGGCCTTTTCACTTGTTTTTAATAAAGCTGATTTTTAACTTTTCCCAAAAAAAATCGTTTATAATTACAAAATGACACAACCAACTATCAACGCTAATGCCACAACATATTAATGATGCGATTTAATAATTTCCCCAACTTAGTGATGTTCAAATGTTGAAATGATTTAACACATTTCCCGTTAAGTGTGAGAAAAAAAAGCATGAGATTAACAGCGCTATCAACAAGAAAACACCACACACACCGCATGTTGCACAGTCAAAGATGTTGTGGCATCAAAGTTGTTTTACAACTTCATGTGGCTCTGTGTCTGACTGGCTGCATCATTGTCATGGCCATTTGATGGACACATAAATATTTTGTAAATGATGTCAAAAAACAAACTTGAATCGACTTAGAGTAGAAGAAGAAAGATAGTTGTTTTGCGTCATTTGAACAAGTTTTGTAACAGCATGAGGTCCGAAGCCGTTAGAATATGGTTAAGTGCGACAATTGAAGATGTAATGTTGCAAGCATTAAATCATAACGAAGAAAAAAGAGTTTTATTGGATTTTTTCTTATAATCGGTTTGATTTTATAACAGTCAGCCAAAGAGAGCATTTATTAAATAGAAAAATAATAATAATAAAATAAAAAGAAAATTGAAGGTTTATACGACAATATTTATAATAAAAATTCGTGTGCAGAGTAAGGAATTTACATTAAGTGAATTTATGTTAAGATTTTACACCAAATCGAATCTATTCGATAAAAAAAACACAATTGATTAATATCAAGTTATAAATTGTATGAAAATCTTCAAAACACATTCATTTCAGATTTCCAGCTAGATACCTTCCTCAAATACCAAGTTTAAAACCATTCAGCACGTTTTTAGCATGTATTTTCAAAACTTCCTCCATACAGGGTTGCCCATATTCGACGGACCCATGTTTTTTTTTAAATCAAAGAAAAAAGTAAAAATTTGGCGGTTGACAATGTTAATCATTTAATTTGTTCCAAGTAGATTTGTTTACATCAATTTTTGAATATGATATCTCTCAAATGGCCGCCTCTGGCGTTGATGACGTATTGTGCCCTTTTGGCTGCATTTTCCATCGTTTTTGCCAACATTTCGGCCGGAATAGCGGCTATTTCTTCACGAATATTGTCCTCTTGAGCTCTTCTACGGTCCCTGGCTTGTGAACGTAAACCTTTGACTTCAAATTTCCCAACAAGAAGAAGTCAGGCGGCGTCAAATCGGGCGAACGCGGTGGCCAGTCAAAATCACCACTTTTCGACATCAAACGGCCCGGAAGCAAATTCATCAGAAAATCGATTGTTATGCGACTTGTGTGCGGTGGAGCGCCGTCTTGTTGAAACCAGAACTGCCTCATACGCTTTCGACGAATAATTGGCATCACAAAATTGATCATCATGTTGCGATAACGCTCCTGATTGATGGTAACAGCATGGCCATTTTCATTTTGAAAGACCGTTTTCGCACTAACGCCGCACCAAACTGTGACTTTTTCGTCATGAAGAGGCACTTCTTGAATCTCCTGAGGATTTTCAGTGGGGTAAAAACGGCAATTTTTCTTATTTACGGTCCCATTCAATGTGAAATGGGCTTCATCGGACATGATAATTTTTGTCCCAAATTGCTCATCATCTTCGGCCATTTCGATGACTCTTTGGGCCCATTCCAATCGACGAGGCTTGTCAGCAGGCAACATTCTTTGCGTCAATTGAATTTTGTACGGGAAAAAATGCAAATCAATGCGAATAATCCGTTGTAAAGTGGACCGAGCCATGCCCAACTGCTGAGAACGGCGTTTTTGGGATGTTCTTGGGGACCTCTCAACACTGGCTCGTACGGCAGCGATATTCTCGGCCGATCGCCTTGGTCGACTTTTATATGGCCTCTTCGGATAAGAAAGAGCCTTACGAGTCGAAAATTTTTCGTATAAATGCTTAATGGTGTTCTTAGAAGGCGCACTTCTCACATTTTTTTCACAATTGACTTCTCCTGTATATCAACCTTACCCCACAAAAAGTAATACAAATTTCACATTTTAGATTTCAAGGTATATTCCTACCATAAATACCAAATTTAGAACTATTTAGAAATATTTCCAAAACACCTTTCAACCCTAACACCAAATTACAGATTTCTAGCACTATCTGATTTATACTAAATTTAGTAACATTTAGTACTTTTCGTATAAATGTAGTACGTATTTTAAAAACTACCTTTTACATCAACCCTATTTTTCAGACTTGATTTCAATAACTAAATTCAAGTTTTTATGTCTATATATTCCTATAATTCCAAAGGGCACCAAATCTAGTGACGCACATATTGTTAGTATTTAGAAAAAAAAAAACTAGTTTGTCTATCCCACACAACATCAAAGACTCTCACTCCAAATTTCAGATTTCCAACTCTATTCCTTCCCCAAACACCACCTGAGCGTTGATAAATCAGTCAGTCAGTTATTTCATTACATTTATATTCATTTATTTCCAAAACCACTTCAAATCTCATTTCAAGAGTATCGTTTCCATCGTTTAGTACGCATAAGTACGAATTTCCAAAGTTTTCTACATACCCAAATCCTACACTTTCACAGTAATCCCAATTTAAAATTTCACGATTTAAAATCTA